CTCAAAATAAAGCAACAGACCTGAGGACCAGTGGAACAGATTAGAAGATGCAGAAACAACTCCAGACACATTCAGCTACCCCATCTTTCACAAAGGAGCCAAACACCTTCACTGAAGGAAAGATAGCCTCTTTAATAAATGGGGCTGGAAAAACTGGGGTTTAACTTGCGAAAGATTAAAACTAGACCTATATCTCTCACCATGGACTAAACTAAAATTGAAACGAATGAAAGATCTAAATATTAAAACAAATGCTGAAAAAAACAAAAACAGAAACAAACCAGAAACGCTGAACCTGCTGGAACAGTGGTTAGGTAGAACTCTTGAAGACATTGGTGTAAGAAGATTTTATGAACAAAACCTCAGTTGCCCGTGAACTAGCACAAACAATCAACAAGTGGGATCTCTTCTTACCAAAAAGCTTCTGCACAGAAAGAGAAACCACCAGTAGTGTGAAGAGACAACCCACAATGTGGGAAAAAATCTTCACCTGCTTTTCCTCAGACAAAGAAAGGTCTATTATCTATAAAGAATCTATAAAGAACTTAAAAAAAATCAGACCTCCCAAATTTAAAGACCCAATCCAAAACTGGCCATCTGAAATGAACAGACATTTCTCAAAGAAGTAGAAACAGAAATAGAAATAAACATATGAAAAAATGTTCAACATCACTGGTCATTCAAGAGATGCAAATAAAAACAATGCTGAGATTCCACCTCACCCCAGAAAGAATGGCTGCTATCAAGAAATCAACCAATTAACAAATGCTGGTGGGGCTGTGGGGAAAGAGGAACCCTGCTCCACTGCTGGTCGGAGTGTAGACTGGGGCAACTACTGTGGAAATCAGTATGGAGAGACCTCAAAGAACTAGGACTGGAAGTCTCATTTGACCCAGCTATTCCCCTGCTGGGTATCTTCCCCAGAGAATTAAAGGAATCATACCACAGTGGTATATGTGCACCCATGTTCATAGCAGCACAATTTGTAATAACTAAAACTTGGAAACAGCCCAAATGTCCATCAACTGGAGACTGAATAAAGAAAATGTGGTTTTTTAATAAAATGGAGTACTACTCAGCCATAAAGAATGAGAAACTAGACATTTAAGGCTAAATGGATGCATACTGAGGCGATACTCTTAAGGGAAATAAATAGGACACACGTGTAAATACCAAATAGTTTCTCTACTGTGAGAAACTGAAAGTGTAAATAAGGACTAAAAGGTATAATAGATAATGTGAAATAGGAAGAAAAGGGGCAAAGGGGAAGGGGAAGTGGGAGG